ACCAGACGGGCTTTGTATTGACCGATGTTTCCGTTTGGTAGCTGTTTTGTTTTAAACGTCCACTTACTACCAAGCACCGGTTTATTTATAGGAGCAGGAACCAGTGACCAGGTGCCTAGTTTTTGTAAAGCAGAATATTCGGCGGACATTGCTAAACGCCAGTTAGCGTGCTTGACTGCCTCATTGTAGGAAGTTGGTGTTGGTGGTGATTCTTGAACAGCAGATAGATCGAACACCTGTTTTGGTTTCACAATTCCAGATCGAAGTCGCGTTTGCATTGGATGACAAGAGACCGGGATCTGGTTCTGACGGCTGAGAGCTGTGGACGAGGACGACTCAGGTTGATGTGAATGCTGATCTGAAGACGACGGAGTAGAAGCCTTATTTGAAATAGAAGGCGCGGGAGCAGAAGCCGAGGGCGTTGGAGTGACGATGATGGATGTGGAAGGTGTGATCGTGGAGCTGGGAATGAGCAGTAGAGGAGGGCACGGTCTGGTAGCGGGAGCAGAGGAAAGATTCAATTCAGGTTGTTGGTAGGGAAACGTTGTTTCATGGAAAACAACGTGACGAGAGATGTACATTCGATTCTGATTTAAGTCGAGGCATCTATAGCCTTTGTGCTGCGTTGAGTAGCCAAGGAACACACACGAATGAGAGCGGGGAGCCAATTTGTTGTCCGCGTAAGGGCGAGTCCAAGGAAAACACAGGCACCCGAAGGTGCGAAGATGTTTGTAGGACGCATTGTGACCGTGAAGGCGGAAATAAGGAGTGGTGTGAGATATGGCAGAAGACGGCAGCCTATTAGTGAGATACGTGGCGGTAGAGACGGCTTCTGCCCAAAATTTCGAGGGAAGAAAGGCCGCATGAAGAAGAGTGCGGGTGAGCTCAATGAGCTGCCGATGCATTCGCTCGGCAGTGCCGTTTTGCTCCGGCGTGTGCGGGCAGCACAGTTGGTGAGTAGTCCCCTGTTGTAGAAGAAATGTCCGAAAATCGTTGCTTGTAAATTCCCCGCCACCATCCGATCGAAAATGTTGTATGTTTGTTTGAAAAACGTTCTTAACCATTGCACAGAAGTTTTGGTATTTAGAGAAAACTTCATTTTTAGAATGCAGCAGATAAATCCACGAAAAATGAGTAAAATCATCTAAGAAAAGAACGTAATAACGAAAACCGTTCATGGAAGCAACCGGAGCTGGTCCCCAGACGTCCGAATGTACAAGTTGAAACGGTTTTGTACAGACTGACGTGCTAGAGGAGAAGGGTTGCTTATGACTCTTGGAAATGTTACAAGAAATGCATAAAGAAGAACAAGAACTAGATTTAATCTCAGAATCAAGACGAGCTAATTTCTGCAGCGTTCGAAAGTTTGGATGTCCAAGCCGTGCGTGCCATAGCGAGCTCGAAGGTTTCGCCGCCGCAAGCACCATGTGCTTAGTTGGGGTAGGAGCTTTGAGACGATACAGTCCATTGCGTTTGCGACCGCGGAGAAGAGGGCGGTTGTCCTGTAAATCCTTCACAACAAATTCGTTAGCGTTAAACGAGACTGAGACGTTATTGTCTGCAGTCAATTTCGCAACAGATAAGAGATTATGGGAAGCAGAGGGCACATGTAGAATATTTGGGAGATAAAGCTTACGGTGGGAATCAGGTATAGGCAAGATTCCTTGACCCGTATTATGAATCGGAAGAGTGCTTCCGTTAGCTGTAGAGACGGAATCCATGCCATTGTATGGAGAAGCATGTTGGAGATTAGCCACGTCCGGCGTTAAGTGCGACGAGGCACCGGAATCAATGATCCACTCGTTTGCGGAAGAACTTTGCTGTTGCGCTATGAGGGCTCGAGAATTCGACGGAGGCGCGTATGTAAGATTACATCGGTGCCAGCAGTTGAGCGCCGAGTGGCCGGACTTCCCACAGATTTGACATTGTGGGCGGGCGGCGGTATTTCTTGAGGGGACGGAATTGTCAGCTGAGTTCTGCGGTTTAGGAACAGAGGATTTTCCTCTGAACTTCTGGTTCTTGGGTCGGTAACTGTTGCTTCGATTTGAAAACATAGCAACATTCTCAGATTGCTGCAGTTCTTGATTTCTTTGGTTGTGAAGATTTATTTCTTCACTGCAGAGTAGGGAGTAAAGATCGTCTAAACTGATGGGCTGTAAAGACGTGCGAATGGCCGTCTTGAACGAGTTGTATGTCGCCGGTAATCCGTTTAGGATGTACAGCACTATGTCTTCGGTATCTACCTTGGATCCAGCGGCTGCTATGCTATCAACGATTTTCTTGATCTGATCAAGGTATTGCTGCATTGTCTGATCTCTCATTTGGATTTGGTGAAGTTCGCTTTTCAATTGTATCACTCTTGATCGGTTCGTTGGTTGAAGACGACGTTCGAGAGTTTCCCAAACTTCTTGAGTGGTAGTAAGAGTTAGAACATATGGAAGGATGGTTGCAGAGATTGTCGATAGGATTGCGGAGGTGAGATTCCTATCGATCAGTTTCCATCGGTTGTGTGCGCTGATGTCGATTTCCGGTGGACAAACCGAGAGACCGGTGAGATGCGTTTCGAACCCGTTCGCAGAAAAATGTTGATACAGCTGCAGACGCCAGATTGCATAATTTTCAGTTGTTAACTGAGTGGGAACCAGATTCTTGATGTTGGAGATCAAGAATTTGAGATGAGGAGGAATGATGAGCTCGGCTTCTTGACCGGTGGAGCTCTGAGTGGCCCGGCGAGACACGGCCGAATCTTCTTCTGCCATGGGGAGAAGACGAAGAAGAATTGCTGTGGAGCGAAGAGCTCTGATACCAAGTTAGAGTTCTTGGAAAAGAACTCTTGGAAGAGGATGAACGGGAAAGAAGAGGAGAGAAGCCGAAAATGAGAAGAATAGAATTGTTGTCTTATTCAGATGATAACCAGACATATATATAATTACAGAGATGAAGTAAAAGCGGGAAAAAACATAACTCAAATATTTACAATAATGGTCTCCTTAACACTGATCACAACGCTGAAACAGTAAAAATTATTTTGCACCCGCTACAGGAACTTGCTGGCTCCGCCACTGCTTTATAAATGCTAAACTTATAGATCCATTATTTTTTGGGTATTATCAATTTAATCATATAACATTTTAAGATCATCCAATCATTTACTAAATAATAATTTATGTTTGGTGATATTCTTAAAAAAGTTAAGTTGGTGAATATATTAAGCTGATCTATAGATATTGCTCCAGGAGAATCATAAAATAAAATTTTAATTTATTTATAAAAATGTAATTAATGTAATTTAATTTAAGCCTCTACTCCATATAACCAAAATTTAATAATAATAATAAAATGTTGGTTTCCAAACCAAACAAGTATCCACCGCTGCCTGTTTGGATGGTGAAGAGCCAGTTGGCTAAAGCCTATGTCCCTAGTTCGAATCCCTTGGCAAGCAGTGAAAGCCTTAAGTGTTGGCCGTGTAAATTGATGCGGTTGCCATGCAAGATCGACGGAATTTTCACATGGTGGCTTACTGGTCCAAAAAAAAAAAACCAAACAGTAATGTGCCTTTGTTCGGTGTTTTCACCAAACAGGGAAAAATGAGACGTCCAGTCCACTTGCCAGGCCGAGTTAGATGACATTTTTCTTAGCTGAAATCGCGGAAGTGACTTCCCATTCTAAGCTTCTGCGCACCTGTAAAGCCTTTTTTGTTAAGTTGTTCCATTTCCGGTTTTCATTTTCCTGCAAGTCTGGAAAACGAAAGTTCCTTCAATTCGTAATGGACCACCAACTTACTAAAAATTTACCTTGCTGCAGGATTTGACCCCCTATGTAAATTTTTTTTTTCTCAAAAGAACTTCATTAATCTAACTTACAATCATACACAGCAGTTCTATAAGCCAAAGATAAGTTCCAAATAATTAGATTTTCCATTTCCACATTATTTAGATTTTCCACAACTAATAAAGACGACTTTGTAATCTCTATTACCATCTTGTTTATCTCAAAATTTTCTCATTCAATTATTGTTTGTTTGTTAAAAAAATATTTTTTTAATTAAATTGTCAGAGAATCAAGAAAAAATTCTATAAGATGACGGTAAAATCTATAATACTTTATGGTGCTAATATTAGCAATTAAAAGAGAATAATAAAATTAAGTTGAGTGTTACACTGATGAGTATACTAAGATGAATATATAGGCGAAAATATTCCGAATGATTACACAACGGAGATTAATTATGCAATCAAATTATGCCTAATAATTTGTCCTTTTTTATTTTTGGAAATTTGAGAGCACCAAACCACAAATTTGATCTGAACAAAAAGTATCGTAATTAAGTTCTTAAAAACAAATTTGAAAATTTAAAACTTTTATCAACTAAACAAGCTATACTAACAAAACTTTCTTATTTTTAACACTTTAAATTATATTTAGGTTTTATTTGGGATGATTTTCTTATTACTTCTTAAAACAACTTTATAGTAAAGAAATTTTAATTTTTAAAATAGAAATCTGTTTTAAGAAATAATAAAAAATCGTCCCAAACAAAGTCTTAATTGTACATTCTTTGCTTATTTAAATCAAATTAACACACACATCACATACTCATGTTTCAAATCCAAGACATTTTAGGCTTTGTTTGGAACGACTTTCTTATTGCTTCTTAAAGCAGCTTTCTAATATAAAAATTTTAATTTTTAAACTGAAAAGTTATTTTAAGAAGAAAAAAAAAATCCCAAATAAAGCCTTAATTAATAGCAAAAAATTTTCAACCAACATATCAAGATGAGGGATGTGAAAATAGATTTTTTAAAAGCTGTTATATAAAAACTGTTAAAGAAAACTGTCCAAATGAAGTCAAACTCACCAGTGATTCTCAGCTGGCTATAACAAGAAAAACTTCAAATAAACAGAGCGGGAGTATTCTTTTCCGCTAAATAAAAGCAAAAAAAAAGGGGTAAAAGAAAACTATTTAGGAAAAAAGAAAAAGAAAAAGAAAAAGAAACGTATACTTGAATTTTGTTAATTTTGGATTTTAAAAAAAAAAGATTATAGCATAATAAAAAAGCATAATTAACAAAGCCATTATACTTCATTTTCTTATGGAAGAGACTTCAATCAACGCCATGAGGAAACCGTGAAGAGCGGCAAATCCTCCCAAGCCAGTGAGAGCATACCCGTAGAGGAGGAATCCAATAACGAATACTTGGGGCTATAATCGTAATTCCACAAAAGAAGCTTCGCCTGACTTATCGCGTAGTTGCTTAGAGGAACCATTTCCAATCCACAACCTTCCATAATTACCCTCCATTTTTCCTTTGCCTCCATTCGCATCCTTCGTTGTCGACCGTCCTCCGGGCCCACCGTATACAGTATCCGAGGACCCAGTATGACCCGCTCGATCCGGGCCCGCTCGTCCGAGTCACGGCCCCGCGATGACTCCACCGAGTCAAACACAGCCGCGAAATATCGCAATGCGTTCCCGAACCGCTCCACGAACCCGATTCGATTCAGACTACACTCATATTCACCGAGAGTCACCACTTTCGGCCGGACCGATTTCGCGAGCCGGATTACGCGGTTCACTGGCTCGTCGCTATCGCCTAGGATTGTGTATAGTTGCAGCGTGAAGTTTACGGCCACGGCTTCTCCCGGTTCGACCCGGAAGGAGGCTGCGGTCAGATCTTGAACCGGGTGAAGCACCGGTTCGAACTCGAAATCCAGGTCGAGGAGTCGGGCGAAGTCGAGAAGGCGATTCCCGGTGGCGGCAAGGGATGTCGCCGGAGAGCCGCCGAGGGAGGCTGCGGGGATGCCGGAGATCCGAATCCGGGAGGGTTTTCCGGTGGGCCGTGTGGCAAGTGCTTGGAGTAACGCGGCCCACTGAATACCCTGTGAGATTCCGAAGTCGATGATGTGGATTATCTCCGCAGATTCAGTGGCTTCGAGGATCGCCTGGTTCGCCGTCAAATGAACAAACATGGAGTAAGGGCAAGCGTCGTTGAAGGCTCTGTAGCATAGCGCAATTTCTTCTTCTCGGAAATCAGGGGCCGAACAGCCGGTGAGGCGGCTGTTTAAGGCTTCGGCGAAGTAGTAGGCGACGCGCTCGGTCGGATCACCAAGATCTGAAGCAAGGTCTCTGATGTGGTCGATGGTTTTTGCGGCCTGATCCGGCTCCGTATCGATGATTCGGGCACAATCGAGAAGGGATTTGAAGAGCAGGGGAGGGGATTTGGAATCCACTGCGTCCTTCTTCGGTTGAGGAGGCGGAGGCGGATCGAAGGAGAGCGAGTGAGGTGCGACGATTTTGCGCGAATCGGGGAAAACGACTCGGTCGAGGTCGGAAGTGGAAGCCTGAGATGGAAGGCTGATGGCTGTGGAGCAGGATGCGAAAGCATCCGGGAAGATTGGAGGGAGATCACTCCCTTGCCACACATCCGCCATGATTTCCGAGCTTTCGGTCGGGGATTCGCCTATCAGGCTTTCCATCCATTCGTCGGAGTCAAACTCAGATATTCGAAAGGGGGCATGGTCGATATGAGTCTGCGGCGGGAAGCCGAGCACACCGGCGGCAAAGGGGTCGTGGAAAGTGGGTTCGGGCATGGCGAAAGGGAAGTGATCTCGGATGGGTGGAGTTTGCTGGTGCTGGTTTCCCCACTGCGGCGGAACGGCGGCAAAGGGGTCGCCGTCACTGGATGCTACATCAATAGCAGGGATGACTGGTTCCTGATTCTGCTGCTGATGCTGATGGCGCTGCTGTTGCTGTTGCTTTTGTTTGATGACTTGCTGGGCGATAGCCATGAGATTGCCGCTATCCGCGCACATGTAAGCCATCTTCTTCTCGATCCCCTCTGTCTGTCTCTCTGGTAAAGTAGCCCCGTTTAGCCTCCTTTTTCTTTTTTAATCCAAGACCTGTAGCTGCTGGGCATTGAGAGACGAAGCCAGCATTGATGAGAAGGAGTGAAGTGAGAGTTTGGAGGAATTGAGCAGCACGGGGTACGATGGTTTTCACAGAGAAGACAAGCACTGTACTACACTGCTTGCCGCGGCAGCAGAAGAAGCCCTTAGGCCTTAGAGATAGCTAAACGAACTGCAGGTCGAGGGATTATGACGAGTAATGAGAGATTAAAAATAAGAGGGACATAGATGACGACGGAATAAATAATAAAAACCTTGAATCGGTGGGTCCCACCCACCAGTTTTATGTGGGCCACTCTTACCCCTCCCTAAGTAAGATGAAAAAATTATAATATCTTCATTATAATAATAATGAAATCATTAGTTTAGATAATTTTTTTTTTGAAAATGATTAAAAAAAAGATTAATTTCTTTAAAACTTAAAAAAGGCGTAATTTTCATTAGATTTTATCCTTTTATTTATTTAGTCTAAAAAAAAAAAGAAAAGTTAGTTTTTTTTTTTTTAACATTATTGTTATGATGTGACGATGAAGTTTATTAAGATAGGTTACTCTCACAATAAGTCAATATAGCGCTCAGTAAGAAGAGAAAAGGTGCCCTATTGAAGTTGGAAGCAACTCGTAGGATTTGACGGCATTTGATTGAGACCATGAGTGAATATCCATGTGTTAAGCATGCTGCATATTTTAGCTTGTTGAATTCCTTAAAATTACTTTTTTAATCACTTAGTTCATTAATCCATAGCTTATGTAAGGTCTTTAAAGTTTTATTTGGAATAATTTTTTTATTTATTTATAAAGCAATTCCAAACATTAAAAACTGTAATTTAAAAAATTTTATACATAAAAATTGCTTTAAAAAGCAGATACCTAAAATGACATTTTTAATCACTAAGTTCATTATTTTTCAAAGCTTACTCATGTAAGGACTTAAAAAAAATGTCAAAGAAGTAATATTTATACTAAAAAATAGCTTTAAAAGTTAGGAAGAAAGCCATCTCAAATATGAGCGGATACCATGGCTCTGATACCATGAAAGCAAACAAGAAAGAGTGCAGTGGGAGAAAACATAGAGAGTAGTAAGAAAGAAAGAAAATCTATACTGAATGAATAATGAATTACAGGATACGTATATATAGTAAATAAATGGTAAATGTGTTAATTGATGAGATAATGACAGGTACTAATAGATTCACCTTAAGCTTGGGTGGGGGGATTGCCCCCATCATTTTTTTTAAAATGCTATATGATTCTTTAGGAAATTTATCCCCATTTATCTATTTTTTGTTTTTATTACAAGGGTTTTTTTGGCAATTGCCCCCCCCCCCCACCTAAAAGCTTTAAAATACTGTAGTCTTTAGTTAATTGCTCCCAGCACAATTAAACACATTGTGCAGAGGTGTTATCCTTAGGAAACGATGAACCAAATACAAACGAAAATAGTAAAGAGAAATCAAAATTATCCTTATCTTGTAAGTGGGCGCTATCCCTATGGATTCAACATATATTTTGAAGAGTACAAAGATCAAGGATATGAACAAATAGGGGTTTCTATTTTGCAAAGGGTATATCAGTCGCAAAAAGTGGTTGCTAACCACTATTTGCGACTGATCTACATGATGCAAAATTAGGCATAATTTTGCACATTGCAAATCAGTTGCAAATAAAAATATCAATTGCTAACTGCTTGCAACTTCCTAGATAAATATTAGATAAGGCATGCTTTTATATTTTTTCACCTGCAAGCATATAAACCTGCATGTAATAATATAATACAATAAGTAATTATTTCTTTGTATTGAATAAATAAAATCATATATCAAATATTTCCAAAAGAATCTCCTTAACTTAATAGGGGTGGAGCCGTGGAGGCCTCCTTCAGGTCCTTCATTAAAGATCAGGAGACCATATGGCCAACGAGAACAATTATTACGTTCTCTGACCGGACGTAGAGCTATGTTCGGCCGCCAATAATATGTCGCCACGTGCTCTTACTCTAAACCGCGCGGCCCGGCGACTTGACCCGGAGCGGAACCCGGGAATGCTATGTTCGCGATTTTCTCGGCATTGCTCGGTATTTGCTAGGTATTGCTTTGCAAAACTGAGAAATACCGCTCTGTGAAGACCAATACCATGCAAATACCGAGTTGTACCGAGTTTTTCACAACTTGGTACAACTCAGTATTTGCTTAGGATTTGCTCGGTATTGTTAGGGATTTGCTCGGTATTGCTAGGTATTTGTTCGATATTGCTAGAAAAAACTCGGTACAACTCAGTATTTGCTCGGTATTGCTAGGTATTTGCTCGGTATTGCTAGAAAAAACTAGGTACAACTTGCTATTTGCTCGGTATTGCTAAGTATTTGAAATATATCCAAAAGATGATGGGATTTTATTCGACTCGTCAAGGATTTAAAAAAACGCACATGCGAGAACCCAAATAACAGCGGATCGGGTCGGCGACTTTTCTTCATGCTACGTAGCGCTAAAATATTGGTGGCCGAACGTAGAGGAGCGTACGTTCACCGGACCGAATAAAAGTTCGGCCAACGAAGATGTAAAAGAGATTAATAAGGTTTCTTTTGGAATAGTTTTTTTTAGTGATTTATAAAATTATTTTTAGTACAAATATATCTTAAAAGTAAGAAAAATATTATGGTCTAAAATTGTTTCTCAAACAAAGGTAAAATATTTTTTTGGGACAACTTTTTTAATGCTTTCTAAAATATTGTTTTAGTTAAAAAAAATTAAATTAAAAAAGCTGTCCCAAACGAAGCCTAAATTTGTTAGTTATTTCTGAAAAAAAAAAGCCTCACATTGTTATTGCAATAGAAAAGTTATTAAGCATTTAGAACTATATATAGTCATTAATTTATGAGGAGTTGACTAATTTTGACACTTCCTCTAAATTAGATTGAATGAAAAATTAATGAAAATATATCATTAATTTGTTTATTTAACTGTACTCGAAATTAATATTTTAGATGAAGTATAATTAATGTATAATGATTGTTCATTACCCTGCACTAATTAATGATCCTGACTGCTAATTAATGATAAATCCAAAAAAGGATTAATTGCGTTAAAATTGATAATATAAAATTTAAATGGCTTCATCAAAATGAGAATCTTATTGTCTATGAGAAGAAGGTCTTAATTTAAAGAATTTCTTTTTCTCTGATCAATAAAAAACATTTGCTTGTTAAAGACCGATTCTTCTGATGAGACGTTTGAGAACTAAGCCGTAAAAATTTAAGAAAAAAAAATTGAAGCAAATTAAACAAAATCCTATAAAAAATTGCAAGAAATAATATTCATAATTACAGCACTTAAATTCTTATATTTACTTACATCTAAACGACAGAAAAAATATTATTAGGTTTAAATTATTTAAAGTAAAACTTATAAATAAATTTTGAGCTATTTAGACATTAAGAAGGTATTATATAAATAAATATTAAATTTTAGATGCTAAATATATAAATAAATAAGAACTCAATGCCTCAATGGTATTAATGTAATTTTTTTTTAGGGCAACGAGTACCAAATTATGTTTTATTGAACATTACTAGATTATTATGCTCAACTGATGATAAGATATGAAAGCGCCCAATTATTAATGTTTTATTTTTTTTAATTACTTATTCTTGTATTGAAATGAAATCATATATTTATGTGAATTTATTTGTGTTGCATCCCAGAACATTCATGGTAGTAGAGAGATGAAATAAATATTTTTTTACATGTAAAATCCTAAAAAGGGAAAAAATCATAGGATTTGACCCAGCTGAAATATTTTTACTAGTGTTTATTGTTGATTACAAATGAAGGCCTTCCATGTGGGGAAGGCCTTGGCTTGATGAAGTAAATATACATCATATATATCACATTACATGGTGTGTGAGACCATAGTTGGCAGGTGATCACAGTTGGAAGTACTGTAGTTGGTGGTGACTGTAGGTCTGAGGGATCATAGTAAGCGGGTGACAGAGATCTGGGGGACTGTTGTCGGTAGACGATGATGGTCGGAGAGATCTTAGTCAGCGAGAGACTGTGGTCGAGAGTGACAGTAGTCGGTGGGCGACGGGAGGGCGGAGGGTTCGTAGTCAGCTGGTGGCGGTGGTCGAAGGGACCATAGTCGGTAGGCGGTGGACGTCAAAGGGACCATAGTTAGCGGGCGATGGAGGTCAGACTAACCATAGTAGGCGAGTGACAGAGATCAGATGGACTATTGTCGGTAGTATGATGGTTTCGACGGTTGGGTGGAAGTATTGTGGCAATCAACGATCGGGTGGTAGTTTGGTTTTGGTTGACAATTGGAGGCCATGCTAATCCTGTGGCATTTGATGACCGGGATGTGGTTTGGTAGTGGTTGGCAGACAGGCGGTGGTCGGACGGCTATTAGCGGCCAGGTTCGACAGCTGTCGGTGGCTGGGTGGTGGTCTGGTGACTGTTGGCAGCAGGAGGGTCGTTCGGTGGGGGTAAGCGGTTGGCAGCTTAGCAGTGGTTCGGCGATAATCGACGGAGGTTCGTCGGCGGTGCCTTGAAGTCTTAGAGCCCTTTCGAATATCCAAACAAATGTCCAAGCTCATATACCCTCTCCATCATGTGGGAAATGATGGTTTATTTATTGGTTTTCGAGAGTAGCATGACCCGTCAATATAGAGAAAATCTCGGGCAAATTTGAAGTTTTCCATCAGACGACCCATACAGATCTCCTTGATCATAAAAGGTTTTTCAAGGTTTTATGTGTCCACATGATGTCAAAATTAAATGATCATTGCCTCCTTGGATTTGTCTCGTCGAGCCGCTCGATTCAACTATTTTTTTTTTAACCAATACAAATATATTAATAATAAAATAAGAGGTACAACAAATAAAGGAAGGCTCACAGAAACCCCAAAAAAGCTACCGACTCCAAAACAGATTCACAATATAGGAGATAAAATCCAAAAAGAGAGCTCAGCAGATAGACGGGACTCCCAGCACCTCGAATCCGCGCAAGGACCATCCAGACTAGTGAAGATCACCAACGGTTGCCACAAGATAGCTGATGAGGAGAGGAGCCCCAGCCACATCATTGCCCCGCAATCTCCAATTCAAAACGTCAAGCAAACCGATCAACCGCAAAAAATAAGCTAAAAAGAAAAGGAAATTATCTTCTCCTGCCACCTCGCTTCCAAAATTTTCCCCGAGAAGCAACCTTAATATTTTTATCACGAACCAATTTGGACTCCTCGCCAAAATCT